ACACAGGTGATATGGCCTCCTTTGAGAAAGAGAGGCTGGAGCAGCTCAGGGTGGAGGACAGCTTAAGAGGTCAGTTTAGAACCTGTTAATAAAGAGTGCAGGAGCTGGATGGATACATGTGAGTGTAGCTTAGAGAAAAAACGCCACTTTAGTCAAACAAACAAACACAAAAATTGCCCAATCAGAGAAATAGAAATGGAGAAAAATTAGCAGTTTTGCAAAAGAATTACTCATTCAGCAAAAATATTCTTCATATAGTTCCTTCTAAGTTTTAATCATGTCTGGTATGATAAAATACGATTCAATTTACATAAATTTTGTTTCCACAAAGAGATTGTAAGAAAAGTGGCTATCACATTAGGCCTGGTCTGACACTGACAAGTGACTCTGTGCCAGTATTTCTGTGGTTCTGTGCAAAGAGCTCCTTGCCTTTTCCCTTCTCCACTTCTGGTGAAATAATTGTTTCACTTATTGGCTGAATTTCTGCTATAGCGGGAAAAGACTTTCCTTTTCAATTGGAAGTGAAACTTAAGGCAGGTGCCCCTGGGAGAAAAATGGGTGGCAGCCATTCACACTTTAGTATAAAAGAGCAGAGAGCAAAATTTGATGGAGGGCAAGAGTTACAAAGGCACTGGGTTGTGAAAAGGGTGAGAGAGTGAAAGACATCCAGGTCATAGGGAAGAAATTATAAAACTGGGAAAGGGGTGTTGAAGAAAAGCCTCAGACGGACGTGATCCACTGGAGCATGTGTCTTGCTTTGCTTTTCCGTCAGGTGTAGCACAAATCCCACCCTGCCTTGCATTAGATTCATTCATCTTCCTTTTACAAAGTGGCCACTTACAGTTGTACCTCCAGGTCAACCCACAGGTTGGAGCTCCTCTGTAAAGGTGTCTTAAAGCGAATGAGGTCTTCCTGATGGCATAAAGGTGGTTCAGGAACTGAACAGGTGAAGGTGCTGTAGGCAGGGCTGGAGAGGCTCCAGACATGACTTGACAGAACTGCCCCAAATCAAATTGTCATTGAATTCAATAACAACAAAACAACGATAGAAGTAATTTATCAAGCACTTACCATGTGCTGGGTCCCATGCTGCCTTTACGTACCTTATCACACCCAATTCTCTGAGTAACTCCATGAGTAATTATCCCTGTTTTACAAAGGTGAAGAAGAGAATTGAAGTCCAGAGAGGTTGCTTGGCCACCAGGAATGTCAGAGTTGAATGCAAGCCCAACCCTGTCCTCCTCTAAAACTACTGGAGTTTCCAAGTGCATTGGGTCATTTAATCTGAAATCCCCCTGGTGCCAAAGTCTTGCTAGATGAGACTCGGGGGTTGTGGGGGAACGGAAGATAGTCGTGACTGGAGCTAGCATCTCATCAGGAACAGGCCACCAGTGCTCAGGGTACATGGAGGACCACAGTTCCAGGGCACCTCTGGGTTTCCACTTTTTGGGAGACGTGAACACACCAGTAAGTGCCTGTGGCTGGGGATGGGCATCCAGGGTGAGAAAACAATCAGACACAAAAAGGATAAAGAAAATGTGGAGGGCTCCCCGCAGGGTGACAGGTCACTTCTGGCTGCTAAGATTGGGACTTTGCGATCTGGTTTCACTTTCTTGATTCTTAAAAATTAAGCCTATGAAGCAGAAACTGCAAAGAGCAAGGGACTTGGAATTTGAGGCTGGACTTTGAATCCTGGACAAACCCTGTGACCAAGGGAAAGGACTCACTCTGCTAACTTCCATTTGTCCTCATTCTGTTGCTAATGGCAGGGGGTGTTGAAGGGTCTCTGATTCAGGGACCTCCCCCAAGTGTTCTTTTCTCTCTTGCAGACTTATTTTGTTCCAAAATGGCATCTTCCTTCTATCGAGTTCTCTTCGTTGTTGGCCTCTGGGCTTCCACCCGTTGTGCACCCCCATCCAATGCCCCCAGCAGAGGGTCCTCACACTCTTCCTCCACGAAGAGCACCTGCACCTCCCCACTGTCCTCCAGCAACACCTACTTCGCCTTCCGCCTGTACCGGAGACTGGTTTTGGAGACCCCGAGTCAGAACGTCTTCTTCTCCCCCGTGAGTGTCTCTGCTTCCCTGGCTATGCTCTCCCTTGGGGCCCACTCAGCCACCAAGACCCAGATCCTCCAGGGCCTGGGATTCAACCTCACACATGTGCCAGAGTCTGCCATCCACCAGGGCTTCCAGCACCTGCTCCACTTGCTGAATGTCCCCAGCAAAGACCTGGGCTTGAAGTTGGGAAGCGTCCTCTTCATCAAAAAGGAGCTGCAGCTGCAAGCAGATTTCCTGGACAACGCCAAGAGGCTGTATTCGTCGGAAGTCTTTTCTACAGATTTCTCCAACACCTCCGGTGCCCAGGAGAGGATCAACAGCTACGTGAAGAAGGAAACCAATGGGAAGGTTGTGGACATAATCCAAGGCCTTGACCCTCTGACAGCCATGGTCCTGGTGAACCACATTTTCTTTAAAGGTAAGGATCTGAGAGGTTGGCTTTGACTTTGTTCTGTTTGTTTGTTTGTTTGTTTTGTTTTTGCTTAGTCAAATATGCAAGGTAGACAAACCCTAGATAGCAGGGTGGGGAATGAGAGGGCCTAAGATCTAGTTAGTTTTGCAACTAGCTGACTGCACGACCCTGGATATCTCCCGTTCCCTGTCCTAGCTTCAGTTATCTATTACGATAGGGGCTCATTCAGCTATCTTTGGATAGACTGATTAGGTGTCCTCTGGGGCTGACACTGGACTCAGTGGGAAGCCCATAGGAAAAATCTTCTGGAAATAGCTTGGGAGAAAGGATCTCATCTCTTGCCACCACCAGCAGCCCCACTGCCCCCTGAAGGTTTTAGAGGGACACAGAGCTCTCTGACAGCCCAGTTTAAGACACAAATCCAAGGGTGAGGACACTTTCGTAGGTGTGGAAATGTAGACAAGCTGATATAACTGTCGTTCACCTTCCCTGTACATCTATCTAGAGCTTTACAGTTTACAAAGACACTGTGTTGCAGTAGAAAGAATATCAGCTTTGAAGTCAGGAGGGTTTGAACCCCACCTCTGCCCCTCCCTTGCTCCATGATCCTCAGCATGTTGCTTTAAAAGATCTACCATGAACTGAGCACCTGGTCTGTGCCAGTCTTTTTGCTCACTAGATGGACGAATGGAAGATAAAACCAACTTCATAGGGCTGTGCTTGAGGCTAAAATGCCGGGACCCTCCAGGCAGAGTTACTATGGGTGTTACTGTATCATCTCTCCCTTCCTTCCCCATATCTCCTCCCCTTTCTTTCTCCCTTCCTCCATCCATCTGTCCACTTATTATCCACCCACCAGTTCATTCATCCATCCATCTATCCATCCACTCAGCCAGCCAACTATCTATCAGCCTATTCACCCACCCTCCATCCACCTATTTACCTGCACATCCACCCATCAACCAAGCTGTGCACCCATGTATCCATCCATCCTGCAAAGGTGGACGAGAAGGAAAGAAAACTGAGCCTTTATTAAGTAACCTGTACATTATATGTGTTGTTTGATTTCACTTAATTCTAGTTTTATTGAAATATAATTCACATACCATGAAATGCACTATCTTAAAATGTACAGTTCAGTGGTTTTTGGGTTTTAGCACATTCATAAGCTTATGCAACTATCACCATTATGTAATTCCAGAATGTTTTTATCACCTCAAAAAGAAACCCCACACCCATTAGCAGTCACCCTTTATTTATCCCTGCTCTCCCCCTCTGGCAACTAGTAATCTACTTTCTGTCTCTATAGATTTGTCTATTCTGGACATTTTGTGTTCATGAAATAATACAGCATGATTCCAGGCCATATCATTCCAAGTCTTTTGTGTCTGGCTTCTTTCACTCACCATAATGTTTCTGAGGTTCATCCACGTTGTGTAGCATGCGTCAGTACTTAATTTCTTTTTATGGCTGGACGGTATTCCATTATATGTATATGCCACACTTTGTGTATGCAGTCATCAGTTTGTGAACGTTTGGGCTATTTCTACTTTTTGGCTATTATGAATAATTTTGTTAGGAACATTAGTGTACAAGTCTTTTGTGTGACCATGTTTTTAATTCTCTTGGATATACCCCTAGGAGTGAAATTGCTGGGTAATAAAGGTGATTCTGTTTAATTTTTTAGAAACTGGAAACTGTTTTCCACAAAGGCTGCACCATTGTGCATTCTCACCAGCATTTTATAAGGGTTCCAATTTCTCCACATACTTGCCAACACTTTGTGATTATCTGTGTTTTGTTACAGCCATAGTAGATGTGAATGGCATCTCGCTAAGGTTTTGATATGCATTTCCCTAATGACCACCAACACTGAGCATCTTGTGCCTGCTGTCTGCTCTGTAGACAGCATAGAGTTGGGCCATGTGTTTTTTAAATGACCATGGAGGTCCTTAATCTCATTTTTTGAAAATACCACCACACCACAAAAAACTGTAAAGTTCTAAACAAATATACATGAGATATGAATGACGGTTACACTGGCTTGTCTACATTTCCACACTATAAAAATGTACTCACCCTTGAATTTGTGTCTTAATGGGCTGTCAGAGAGCTCTGTGTCTTTCCTCTAAAGCCACTTCCCCCCAGTTGATCCTCGTAAGCATTTTGGTTAGTATACTTTTGCCCCAACTATTTACCAATGCCTCAGACAGCTGCAAAATTTGTCACCGCCTGTAACTGTTTTTGGCACATGCCCTTTGGGGAAAATAGTTTTGCATTGGTTGAGCTCTGTATCAGTCAGGGTTCCAGAGAGACAGAATCAACAGGATATGTTATATATATGAGAGGGGATTTTGGGGGGGGATTAGCTCACACGATTGTGAAGAGAAGTCCTGCCATGGGCCGTCTACACTGGATGCCGGTAGCGTGGCTCAGTCCAAGTCCAAAGCCTCAGAACCAGGGAGGTTGATGGTGTCTTTGGTGTTAGTCCTGGAACCCAAAAGCTGAAAAGTCTCAAGCTCTGATGTCCACAAGACAGGAGAGAAGAGTGTATCCCAGCCCCAGAAGAGAGAGAGAGCAATTCACTTTTTTTTTTCTGTTTTCTGTTCTCTCTGGGCCCCCAGCGGGTTGGATGGTTCCCACCCACATTGAAGGCAGATCTTTCCCACCCAGTCCACTCAGTCTCTCGTGCTAACCTCTGTTGGAAACACCCTCACAGACACACCTAAAACGATAGCTTTACCAGGTTTCTCAGCTTTCCTTAATCTAATCAGGTGGACACCTAGTGTTAACCTTCACAAGCTCCAGATTATATCAAACACAGCTTTACAAGTGATGTCTTCCAACACGAGACAGGTCAATAATGACAATTCTTTGGGAATGCTTTCTTTAAAGGGCTTCAGCCCCATTTTTTCCTGCAGTGGCTCTCAGGTTGCTGGATTTCACTGCAAATGTGGGCTATTATTTTTCAAGGCTACTGCAGGGCTGGAGAGTCGGGTACGGGACTAAGGCAAGTTTTAAAAACCACAAAGTTCACTGTTCTTACCAAGATTCATCTCTTTTTCTTTAATAAATTATTTCTCAGTTTGCACAAGCATTGGTTAATTTCCAGCCCCCTAAAAAAGTTTATTCTGATCATTGTTGGCAGTTTCCTCATTGTTTTTATGGATAAGTGAGTTTCAGAGGTCTTTACCATTTTTGCTGTCTTCGCCTCACTAATTGCACCGTGACATAAAGACCTCTCTTCTCTTTGTGCTAGCCAGGTGGGAACAGCCCTTTAATGCCGCAGAGACAAGTAAAAGCTTTCCATTCCTGGTGGGCAAGCGGACGACTGTGCATGTCCCCATGATGCACCAGACGGAGCAGTTTGCTTTCGCGGTGGACCCAGAGCTGAACTGCTCTGTGCTGCAGATGGACTACAGGGGAGGCATCGTGGCATTCTTTGTCCTCCCTGGCAAGGGCAAGATGAGACAGCTGGAGCAGGCCTTGTCAGCCAGGATGCTGAGAAAGTGGAGACACTCACTCCAGAAAAGGTGGGCATCTGTGTCAATTTGCTGGCACCTGAGGCAGGTGATGGCACACATCCGAGGATGGGGAAAAGACTGTGCTAGCAGCTGTCAAATAATCATTCCTGCAAATTGAGCGCGTGTCGCATGCTGGACAGTGAGCTTGCTGCTGTGTTTACATGTTTGCACTTGAACTTCACCATCACCTGATACATGAGGAGTCTTATTACCCACCCCCAACCCCCTTTCACAGATAAGGAAATAGAGGATCCAAGAGGGCAAGTGAATTGCCCATGGTCATGTAGGTATTATGTCTCTGCAGAGCTATTATGTCATGGTAGCTGTTATGTGCTAGCAGAACTTGCTCTAGAAGCCACTCTGATATTGAATTCCATGGAATGATTCCATAAAAGCAAACAAAGAAATAAAGCATCAGTGCTTACTGATGAAATAAGGATAATAATATTACTGAATCTACTGGTTGTTGCAAAGATAAAATAAATTATTATCTATAAAACCCTTAATAGAATGCCTAAGTGATAGCAAGTACTCAATAAATATTACCTAAGAGTAATATTATTCTTAGTCCTATAATTATTATGGAGGATATAATTATTATTATAAAGGATATTAACTATAAGATAAAAAGGAATATCAAAGTCTTTTTTCTAATTTTTTTTTTATTCCAAAATAATTGGTTGGTCATATCTGTGGGGTACGGTGTTGAATATCAGTACCTATGTGCAATATGTGATGTTCAAGTCAGGGTAATTAGTATATTCAGCATTACACAATGTAAGCATTTTTTGTGGCCCTTTACCAATTTCTCACTAAGCTCCCTCTGCCTCCCTTTTCCCACTTCTGCTGGCCTCAGTTCTGTTCTCTCCTTTTGAAATTTCAATGAATTATTGTGATTGTTCTCTCTTCCTTTCTTTCTTTCTTTTTGTTTGTTTGCTTCTTTCTTTCTTTCTCTTTTAATTTTGTTAGCTCCCATTTATGAGTGAGGACGTGGATTTCTCTTTCTGTGCCTGGCTTATTTCACTTAACATAATTTTCTCTAAGTTCATCCGTGTTGCTGCAAACGGCCAAATTGCACTCTTTTTTAGGGCAGTGCGGTATTCCATTGTGTAGATACACCACAGAGGAGTCAAAGTCTCATGCTCAGTCTCTTATCAGTATTTTTTTGGTATCATTCCCAGGGCCTTATAGTCTAGGAAAAGAGAAAAGATAGGATTGAGGATAATTGTAATTCGAGAAGGACAATGATCAGTGCCCCAGGGGAGGGCAGGCAGAGTGCTGTGGAGCTCTGAGCAGCGAGAGATCATTTTCAGCTGTGCTTGCGGGAAGGCTTCAAGGAGGTGGTGGCATCTGAGCATGGGAAGGACAGGAACACATAAAAGCTTGGGAAGGGCATTTTTGGCAGAGAAAACAGCACTGGCAACGATTCAAAATCAAGGATCAAGAGAAGCTGGAGAATGTTCCCGAGGTTTCTTCTCTTCTCGGACTGTTACTGGATCTGGGAAGAGGACGAGGAGGCAGGAGGGAGGCTGGGGAGGGAGCGGAGAGCACCGAGCAGCAAACGGAGCAAAGAGAAGACAGAGGTGCCAAGGCCAGCACAGGCGACAGTGACAGGGAGGAGATGGCTGTCCATGGTGTTGGGCGTCACAAGAGCTCTGTCAGACGAGGACAGAGAAGTGTCCACCCTTTTGTGCTCTCATTTCTGCAAGTCACTCGGTACATGACTCTGGGCTAAGCACTAAAACTGAACTCACCACCTTTAAGATGAGGAAAATGTTACTGAATGTGCCTGCGACAATGTCTGACACATAGTAAATGCTCAATAAATGCAGGCTGTTTACTCCTGGTTCGGGGAAATCATTGTTACCACACAGGACAGTGCAGGTATAGAGTGTTCCCAACACGGAAAGAAGTTCTGTTGGAATTTGCTTCCCTCAGGGATTATCAGGGTTTGTGTCAGGAAGGGCTGGTGGGAGGCTCTCTGAGCAGGGGGTGGCAGAGGAGCTCCGTCACTACTTGGCATCTCCCATTAGTCTCCACCACGAGCTGGGCCACCTCCTCACCTCCGCACCCTAGTTAATTGGGGGGCCGATTTGTCTCCCTGCATATCTTCAGCACTGGGCTTGCTCAGCTGGGAAGCTACTTCCAAAGCAACCTGGGCTGTTTGCCTGGGTTGTATTGACCTTTTTAGCAGCAACCAGCACTGTCTGGAGGAAGAACAAAGTCTCCTGAAATGCCACCTAGAAGCAGAGACAGACACAGCAAGGGCTTGTAACCTCATCTTTTTTATTTTCCCCTTCTCTACAGGTGGATAGAGGTGTTCATCCCCAAGTTTTCCATTTCTGCCTCCTATGACCTGGAAACCATCCTCCCAAAGTTGGGCATCCGCAATGCCTTTGATCAAAACGCTGATTTTTCTGGAATTACAAAGAGAGACTTCCTGCAGGTTTCCAAAGTGAGTTGATTGAGAATATTTGCAAGAAATCCTGAGCTGGAAGCAGCTATAGAGATTAGCTAACCAAGCACTCTCATTTCATTGATAAGGAACAGAGGCCAGGCAGGTGAAGTGGTTTGTCTGTGGCCAGAAGACCCAAATCTTCTTCTTTTTTTTTTTTTAAAGATGACCAGTAAGGGGATCTTAACCCTTGACTTGGTGTTGTCAGCACCACGCTCTCCCAAGTGAGCTAACCAGCCATCCCTACATAGGCATCCGAACCCATGGCCTTGGTGTTATCAGCACCACACTCTCCCAAGTGAGCCACGGGCCGGCCCCAGAAGACGCAAATCTTGAGGCTGCCAGGCCTGTGGCTTCCCGGCCATCATCCCTCTGCTGCACAGGCACTCTTTAACCTCTTCACACAAACGTTCCGAAGGCCCAACTACAGTTCTTTGAGAATCTAGCCTGCCCTCTACAGGCAACGTTGCTGCCCCAACCTGCTGAGGACGAGCAGGTGCCCCCTGGCATTCGACCTCACTTCCTTCCTCCCTAAAGTTTAGGTTCTCGCACAAACATCATAATGTGGCTGCTTATAAGCCATTTGAACCACGTAGATGTGTTCTTTGGCTTGTAGTGTTTAAAAAATGAGAAAGAGAGAGATGACTTTTAAAACAATATATTGGATCTAAAAATCTGGATTTCTGATCCTTGAAACAAATCACCAAGACCGATTCCCACATGGCAACAGTAAACCCAAACCCCTACACAGCAGCGATGGCCAGACGGTAGCCTCTAGGTCACTGGTGCTTCCCCGCTCTTACAGGAGGGTTCCTCACCTCGTTGGGCTTTCCTGTGGGTTCCTGATCCCTGGCTTAAAATTTTATTTTGATCATGGGTTATAATGGTCAGAATTGGTTCTGGGGTGACTGAAGGGGAACTTCCTCATTGGTTTCCAGGAAAGGATGCCAAGAGGTCCCATTGGAATACGAGGAGCATAGTGGACCTTTTCCCAAGGAAAATGCTCATGTGCACCGATGAAAAATACTGCCTTTAATCACAGGGAGTTTACAGCCTCCCTGAAGCTTAGAAGTGCATGAACCTCAGATTAAGAATCTCTTCCCTAGGAGACAAGGAAAGGATCCTTCCTTCAGTAATAGCAACTCACGTCCACTGTTCAACAACTGTAGCAATTGCTTTTGCAAGCAAGTGTTCTGTGTGACCTCCTCTAATTCACACTATACCCTTGTGGGATACATGCAATTATTACCACCTTTTGTAGATTTGGAAACTGAAGCACACAGCATCTAAATGACTTTTGCAGCAATAAGCGGCAGAACTGAGACTCAAACCCAGATCTCCCTGGTCTGTGTTTGAAGCCATTAGACTCCATGTGCAAGAGCTGATGGACTAGTAACCGCCACCAGCTGCAATCTACTGAGCAAACCTAATTAATGCTAGGCATTTGGTGTACATAATCTTGAAGCCTCTCAAGGCAGGTGTTGCCATTCCCAGGCAAAACATCAAAACTCAGTGAAGTAAAGATGTCTCCACGGGGACCACTGACACTTGTTTTTCCCTTGGCAGGCTACCCACAAGGCTGTGCTGGACGTCGGTGAGGAGGGTACTGAGGCTGTAGCAGCTACCGCCACCAAGCTCATAGTCCGGTCAAAGGACAGCCCCCCTCATGCCACTGTATACTTCAATAAGCCCTTTCTAATGCTGATTATAAATGAAGCCACAGATTCTATGCTCTTCTTAGGGAAAGTTGAAAATCCCACCAAATCCTAGGTGGGAAATGGCCTGTTGACTGATTGTACATTGATACTGCACGGGAAATAAACCACGTGCCTTCTCCTGTTCCGAGGGTCCACCTGACCCCAGCAGAGCTGAATTCCTGGTGGGAATGCTACTTCCAAGTCTCCACCATCAAACCATCAACAAAGACCCCAGTCACTGGCTAAGGTTCATTAACCCTACTCAGTGTCCCTTTCCACAGATTCTCCCAGGTAACTAGCTTCATGGAGTATTGCTGTGTTGGCATATTTCCCTCACTCAGAGCTCCTGGGAATAATAACATATAGGTCAGGCACCTTTATTGCAGAATTACAGTAACAAATTCAATAAACCTAAAATGTGAATTCAGCTGGCAACAGTTTCCACATACCTGCAGCGTCCTAATCTGAAAATGATTAGTTAGTTAACTCACAGTGGCTGGGTGGTCATCCCATGACATTTCAGCAGCTGCATGAATTTGTTTAATCATTTGTTCAACGAAAACTTATTGCACACTTAATATATGCTAGGAGTGAATCGGGTGGACACGGTCCCTGACCTGCTGGGCCTAGATGGGGGAGACAGACCACTCGGCAACAACAATAAAACCACACGTATGAATAAAAATTGTCATTACCAATTATAAGTGCTGTGAAGGCATTGACTAGGCTGGTTGAGAGAGTAATAGACAAGCAAGGGCTGTTTCGTGAGTGCAGAGGCTGTGAGTCAGGAATGAGCAGGTGTGGAGGGGGAGGGTCAGAGGAAGGCCCTTATGGCTGGAACATCGTGTGTCACAGATGAAATGGGAGAAAAAAGGACACAGAGGTACAAGGAGGTCAGATGATATAGAGTGTTGTTGGCCAAGGAAAGCAGTCTGGGTTTCGTGGGGAGTGCCAGGAAACCGGTTGAGTTCCTCAGCGGGAAAATGGCAAGGACTAATGTATGGATTGTGAAGCCTGTCTGAGTGCCGTGGGGCGGTTTCCATCTCATCGGGGCTGGCTGTCTTCCTGACTCTGACATTGTCACACACACAGCCCTCTGGGTGCTCAGCCTCCTTCCTGCTGGTTTGTAGTGACAATGGTCTAGCTCCGCTACTCTGAACCCTGAGAGCCACACCTGGTGCAATGGGCCACAGCGGCACCAAGGCCAAGGCAGTTCCTGCCCTTGAGTCCTCTCCGCGTCCTTCCCTCTCTCTCTTCCAGATGGGCAGTGCTGGCTCCTTCCCACCCCATCTTTCACTATCAAGGGTGTCTCTTGCAGCCTCCAGCAGAGCCCTCGCTCCCATCAACCCAAAGACTCCTTTCCTGATCATCATGAGGCCCCTGGCACATCTGAGCACATTGGCTTCGCCATGCTCTTTAACACGGAAAGAAATAAAACAGAAGGGAGTTATGCTGGAAGGCTGGCAGAAGCTTCAGAGGAACTTAATCCCCTGCTCCCGACACTCCCACTTTATTTTACAAATAGGAGAGCAGAGACTCAAAGGGCAAAAACAGACAACCTCAGCTGCAGGAACTTTCTGGATAGAATCAGAACCAGGACCAAAGCCCAGATATTAGGGCTCCATCTCTGAGTTTTCCGTAATGCTGCCTGCATCATTCATTTTATACACAATGCTTTGCCCACAGGCACTCACACAGGTCACAGTTAAGAAAACAGTCATCCTGCCCTCCAGGGAGCATGCTGGATCAGACACAGCTCCACGCTTGTGCAGGTTTCCAAGAGTAGACAGGATGTCCTATCATGGCACAAAGCAAATGGCAGGTTTAAAGAGCTGACTGATGACACTTTTGTTGTTAACTAGTTCTTTCTAGTAACCATTGAGAGCCCCGAATAGTCAGGAGTGGGTGAGGGCCGTCAGCTTCCCCCACAACAACTTGCTCCGGGTGGCACATTAAAATGGAAGCAAGCCTCAGGTGGCATTCTGGCGCCCATTCAGACTGTGTTAGCAAACTGGTACAAGAACAGGCATAGAACATTCTCTGTCCACTTGGTGAGGTCCCAGCTCTCTGTGTGAGATGACTGTCCTTTGCATTTGTTTTGAAAAGTGTTTTAGTCAGATATGGTGAGGTGACAAAAACAGAGATAACTGTCTTTGAAACAAGAGTTTACAACTTAGAGCAACCAAGAGAAGAGGACATGCCCCACCATGCAGGGTCACACGGGGAAGCACCAGGGTGGGTTGGGAGGCAGATGGAGCGGAGGTGGGAGCAGAGC